TTCAAGCTAAGTGCGGAATTCCACCCCCTTCCCACATACCCTGCAAGTTGTGCTGTCTTGAAATAATTATTTTTTTTGAACTTCCCTACACTCAGTTTCTCTTGCTTTATGTTAGCAGATGACCGTTTCTGTAGGGAATTGCTGCTATCCCTCCCTTCTTCATCCAGAGTCACATCCAAAAGAAGAGTTGTGATATAAAAATCATCTGGCTATTGAGAAAAATGAAAGTGCGTTTTTATTCAGGAATAGTCTCCCAAATTTAATTGTGCAATTAATCACTTGGTATGCATAATATGTGTATTTCGTAGAGATTTGTGGAGACAGCCATAGCTATGACTGCCTACGCACTAGTCATTGCATTTAGCAATTTATTAACCTATACTGAGAGCCCACTAAATGCCTGGCACATCAATAGACACTGTTCTCTGTGGATGACTCTGTCAACCGCATACCCCAAATCCAGTCTGGTGTCTTCATTAACAGTATCCTGATTTTCTTTCAGAAAGTTATGTGTCCAGCTTAAAAAAAAAACGAACAAACAAACAAGAAAACCAAAAACCAGTATCTCAGGCTCCCTTGCAGCTAAAGATGATATAAGTCTGGGCATTGAGAGGTAACTGGAATTCTACTGAGTAGAATTTCCAGGAAAGTAAGGTCAGAGGGACAGAGTCCGTTGGTATAAGTTCCAGGAACTGACAGGAGCATGGCTATGGTGCCTGGTGCCTGGCCCAGCCAACTTGTAAGCAAAAAGATGGAGGCTGCATATGACAGAGAGAAAAGATAAAAGGAAGCTGGATTCATGTTAAGGAAAAGAACCACCTACATCAGCTTCGTAAGAAAGAAAAACAAAGCCATATTTGTATAACTTACGATTCCTTGGGTTTCTGTTACCAGCAGCCACATGTATATGTAAGTTACATAATCATGTTTTTTAAGCATACTGTATGACTATATTTATACAGTCAATTATAAATCAATTTCATCTTTTGCTAGTTGCTTATCAGTTATGAAACTCGAGGTAAATTAGATTGACTATTTGCCCAGTTAAATGTGTTACTGGGGAAAAAAAGCCATTTAATTCACAACTTCTGAATTATTGGGAAAATGTATTTGGGAACTGGAATTCCGCTCAGGATGAACAGGACTGCAGACTGTGTGTGTTGCATCCAGACACTGATTTAGCATTTTTGATTTAATGTAAAATGGCTTTGCGAACACAAGCGTTAGATATTTTATTCCTTTCTTGTAAGAACTTCACTGAAAAATCAAATTTATTGTATATTTAATGAAATCATAAAATGTCTTTAGGCCCATAGAAATTGCCATTCTTCTCCTTGCCTATCCATATTTTCTAAGTTTCCAGTAAAGATTATGTATTATGTTCATAATAAGGAAAACAAAAAAACAATTATTTTTTGAAAGGAACAAATACTACTGAAGAATCAGCACAAGAAAATTGGATCAAGATAGCAAAATGCACAAACCACTTTTTCCTTCCCCTGCAATCACTCCAAGTGTCAAAAGAGATATCTTTTTAAAGGAGTAGATCTAGAAACTGCTAAATATTTCCATTAGCAGAACAGAAATGGTTGGAAGCTCCCGGCAGATAAAAAGCAGGCAAGAATGGTTTGATAAGAGTAGAGGAAAACCTCAGCCTGCAAAAAGGCACAAGAGAAATACGTGTAGAAAGTAAACGCTGATGCAGAAAAAGCCCATTTGCAGAATGAGAAAAGAGCAGGGAGGCACTCCCGACTCAGAAAGCAATGACCAGAGCAATTGCAGACTGTTTTTCTGAACACCGGCCAGGCAGACCCTGTCCTCCCTTGAACATCAGGGAGTGGGCAGCAGCTAACTCTTAGTGTCGAGTGACCACCGGCCTCGGTGGTGGTGGTGCTGTGCTAGGAGAGTGTGGTGGTCGTGGACAGAAGGAAGGTTGAATTGCACTTCCCTTGGGGCTTCCTAAAAGCATATGGACAGGAATTTAAACAGAGCAGGTCAGTTTGCCTATAAAGGAAATAAATTACAGTTCTTCTGGGCTCTTGTTACTTTAGCATTGGAGCCATATGTATGTTTCAAAGTGAAGTGTGACAACTGACACATTACACCATTTACACAGGCCCAGACCCCTATTCGCAGGAGAATTCTCGGGCGAAAGCCGGTCTACACAACCGCCATTACATACATCAATCAATCAATCCTTCAGCAATAAACATAAACCCACGCTCAAGTATCAAAGTCAATTAAACAACAACAATCATGCTAAAAATAAACACAAGACTCTGAAGGAAACATAATTTCAGGAAAAGAAGAGAACTTTGGAATTTAAGGTTTAATTTACTTAGTGCCTTCAGAGTGCTGGGAGGCTGTCGCAGCCAAGAGAGAACAGATTGCTACAATGGAAGGGCAGTCAGGCAAGGCGGCCTTCAGTAAATTAGCAGTATGACTGGTGAAATTTTAAAACCTTATGAAAGGTGTAAGTATTAACACAACCATGGCCAAATTACTGACATAATAAATGAAGTTGAAGAGATATCCAAGAATGCAGAACAAACACACACACATACACACGAGCTTGCAAAGTATGAAGAGAGCATTTAACAGACACAAGTTCAATCCAAACAATGCAACAATCATCTAACAGGAGTTTCAGAAGGAAATAACTGAGAAAATGAAAGGAATAAATACTTGTTTTAAATGTTAGAAGGAAATATATAGAACCTGAAGAATGAACTAGCTCTCAGATTGAAAGGGCTCACTTAGTACTGACCAGGATGAAATTTTTTTTTTTTTTTTTTTTTTTTTGAGACAGAGTCTCACTCTGTTGCCCTGGCTAGAGTGCCGTGGCATCAGCCTAGCTCACAGCAACCTCAAACTCCTGGGCTCAAGCGATCCTCCTGCTTCAGCCTCCCGGGTAGCTGGGACTACAGGCATGCGCCACCATGCCCGGCTAATTTTTTCTATATATTTTTAGCTGTCCAATTAATTTCTTTCTATTTTTGGCAGAGACGGGGTCTCGCTCTTGCTCAGGCTGGTCTCAAACTCCTGAGCTCAAGCAATCCTCCTGCCTTGGCCTCCCAGAGTGCTAGGATTACAGGCGTGAGCCACCGCGCCCGGCCTGGGATGAATTTTTTAAAAAGGTAAAGCCGGTAAAATTTTAAGTTTCCAACAACAAAAATAAAATTCACAAAGCTTTTTATCTGTTATACAAAGGAATGAGATTGACGGAGACACTGCCTTGCCACAGCAATGGTACACGAGAGAAGATAATGGACAAATATCTTCAAAATTCTGAAGGAAAATGATTTGGGGCATAGAATTTTATGTATAAAAATTAAGAAAATAACTAGCATTATCTACATATCTATTTTCTAAATTACTGAATTTATATCCTCACTAGGTAATATACTGGGTTGAATTCATACATCTGAGATTAATACAAAATCTCCTTATGAAACTTAACGATGTTATGTCTTCACTAAGAAAATGAAATGGAAACTTTTAAAGAAAGAAAGAAAAAATGGAAGAGACAGGGAGACAGACAGGGAGATAGAGGGAGAGAGGAAGAAAGAAAGGAAGGAAGGAGAAGGAGGAGGAGGAGGAATGTGGAAGAAGAAAGAACACCACCATCACACAAAAAGAGACAGACTAGGACAGAGACATAGAGCAAGAGAAAGAGGAAGGGAGAAATTGATGTTTATGTTGTCAAATTCAAATCAAAAACTGAAAAAATTCAGGTACATTCCCAAGAAGTTTCCAAGTTTCTTTAATTGCAGAACAGATGCTAAATTTTTTAGGGAAAAAATCTGTGAAGATGTTTATGAGACCCTATATATTGTCAACATACAAGAGAAGTAGATCATTTCCATCACTGAAGTAAATCATTTCCATCACTGTAGAAAGTTCTAAAGGCTGGTATTGTTTCTAGGACGCTGTTAGCATCAATGCAGGTTAACTGAGCCTGTATGAGCAATGTGATTAATGTATCTAAGAGAAGATATGACTTACAGACAACCTAAAGTAACTCAGATTGGAGACTGTCTTCAACCATGACTTCTACTCAATGTCCTTGAAGTTTTAATTTATGTCATTATTGATATTGCAATTAATCAGATAAGAAACCTAAATCAGAGTGATTAACTTACCCTAGGCAACTTATCTTATCAACTATAGCTGAATATCAAATTTCTTTTTTTCTATATACTAATTACTCCCAAAGTTCCAGGAATCCTATCTGCATAAAACCTAACATAGGATCTTGCACAGAGAATGTACTCAACAAATATCTGTTGCATCAATGATGCAATTATTGCAATGCAACATTGCAGTGATGCAACAAATGAATGAACAAATACACCACAAGGCAGAGCTTGCAATAAAACAAACAGACATAGGAGAACATGACTAACAGCCTCATAAGTAAAACCGTGGCCATGAAATTGCTAAGGGTAAGCTGGAACTTCAACCAGCCATTTCTCATAAAACTTGTGATGCTTCCCTTAAGGTTTTCTGAATCATTCTCTTACCCACTTAATTAATGCTGGTATCTTCCTTTTTTTTTTTTTTTTACCATTTTAATTTATCTGAACATAAAGGCTACGCTACCCACTGTCTCATCCCCACCCCCATTTAAACCAAACCTGGATGATGCTTAAGTCCACTTCCCTGGACTCCTTTGCCTGACCACCAAGTTTCCGTTCAGTGCTTAGATTTAAGTAAAGGCTCTGTGTAGCCTATCCACAAAGACTTGCTCCAATGCCAAAGAAGTTACTCTCCAACCTCAACAAAGGGAATGAATTTAGTATTAATGGATATTGTAGTATGAGAGATAAGGAATCATCACTAAAGTTCAAATTTCTAAAATTTTGCACTGTGCTGTCTGCTTAGTTTTCTCCAGAAGCTGTAATGGAAACAGCCAACCAGCCTCTTCTGATATTTTTTCTTACACCATGCCCAACTCCCCAATCAAACCAAACACCCTTTGAGCCGTGTTCATTACTTACAGGAGATTCGCTGACTCCGAAGATGTCTCTGACATCCCTGACGGACTGCTTATTCTTCTTTCTCATGGTTTGAGTGTAGGTATTATATCTCTTTTTCACTGCAGCTGCTTGGGTTCGAGTCAATGTAGACAGCAAGGCTTTGCCATCTTCTTCTTCATCACCTGAGATCAGCGTTGATAAACCCACATCTTGCAGCCACTCTGCTTCCAATTCTCCTTCTGTGAAAGAACATTACCAAGGTTAGAACATGTTCTGTATGATGACACGTGTATCCATAGGTGTGTGCGTATCAGACAAGAAAAATCAGTAAACAATATAAGACTGTCTTTTTTTATATAGATATTATGGGAAAGAATATTATAACAAATGAAAATTCTGTATTGTATTTTTTAAATAAGTCAAATTTTAGCATATTTTCTGGTAGAGTAAGGTAATTGGTGGACTTGGCGAGGTCATTTTCCTTGCCAGAGAGTTAAATATAAGCCACATGTGGACTACCAATTTCAAAAAATGATGAAATATGAATATTTAAACTAAAACCATAATAGAACAGACACAGTTTAATGGAACACAAAAGGGTTTTTCAATCGCTCAAATGCAGGTTCAAATCCCAGTGCCGCCCACCATTTACTAGCTGAATGATTTTGATAAGTTTTAAGATATTTCTAGGCCTCGTGTCCTCTCACCAAAATAAGTGTAGTGAACTCATATAGTTTGATGTTGCCTCAGCATCCATTCGAATATAGGTTTAACTTTCTCATACCAGGAGCAGGGCTTAGTCACTCTTGACAGTGTCCAGTTCTCACCTCCTCCCAGTTCTTCCACGTGGTCAATCCAGACATCTGCCTTATGCAGCCACCACTTGGTGACCACTTCCATATGGGACAGCTGGATGCAACCTGCTTGACTCACCTCACAGACCCCCACACCCTACATGCACCGTGCGGACATGCTGCAGTGACCACCTGTCCGTCACAGTGCAACTCCATGGAACGTGTGCCTGCTTGCTTAAACCCACCAATTAGAACTCCTCGTTGGAAACTTGCTTGGGTAACACCCTGGGCCCCACAGGTGGCCTCCACTCACGCCCCACCTGCTGGTTGCATGTGAGTGTCTCGGATGGCTCCCCGCTTCCCATTGGTCCCAGGAGGGGTTCTGCTGTCTTCTCTCTGGGATCTGTGAGTAACACGCTGCTTCTGGTATTTCATGCTTTGGGTTGAGTTGCCTCTTGTGTGTCTCCCTGACCAACACACCTCAGCCTAACTTCTCTCCTGGTCAGCGCTCTCCTAAAGACTGGCTACCTTGGTAGGAATAAACTGGATACGGGTCAGACAAGAGCCACAAGGGTGTCTACCAGTAAAAACAAATTTCCTTAGAGAGGGACATCTGGTCACGCGTCAGACGCTTGGGCGTTAGGCCGTCTGCCAGGACCAAGACGTGTCCTGTGAAAGGGGCAAAACCCGAATGAGGTTGTTTAAAGAGCAGATTAGACTAATTTGTAAACCGCATGTCACAGCATCAGTCTAGGAGCACTGGACTGTTTACGTTATTGCATCATTGATACATAAACAAAGCCTTCTAATGTACCCTACAGGTCCAATTTCTAGCTAGGCAAATATTTTATTTGCTATCTTGTTTTTATTATTCATTTGCTCTGTAAACCGTCCCTTTAACAGAAAATAAAAGGTGAATTCGTAATTGGTAGCTCTAATCTAACATAATGAATCTTTTATGTTTGTGAGTTATGAAATCCTCTTTTACTTAAGCCTGAGACAAGATTTTCATTTTGGAAGACAAAATTTACAAATATAGTTTAATATTTAAGTTCTAAAAATTGGATTTTTCCCTGCACCTCTATAAGGAATTATGAAACAGTGAGAGGAATAAGTCATTGGCAGGACTAGACTTAACATAAACCAGGGGTTGGAATGACCTAAATCTTCAGACTCAGACTGCAGCACATGTAGAATATATGTTTTCTGTAGGTGAGAAATATCCATGGCAGATACCTGTGTCAGTTGTGTTTGCTGAGTTAAGTACAATGCAATCCTATGTTCGTTATCCAATTGCCAACTGTCTAACTTCCACACGAAGCTCTCCTTCAAATTCCAGTTCCATAGATCTACCTGCATATTCAATATCCACTTGGCTCTATTGATCATATGCCATACTCAACATGTTCAAACCTGAACTCATATTCTTCATTTCCAACTCTAGGCTTCTTTCAGGGTTTCATGTTTCAATAAATGAAACCCACCATCCGTGTAATTAGGTAAGAAAGTAACCCAGAAGACATTCTTGGCATCTCCCTCTGCTTTACACATCAATTCCAACACACCGACACGATCTTTTGACATTACCTCCTTATTATTTCTCAGAATTGTCCACCTTCCTTTATCTCTTCTGCTGTGACCCTGGTCAGAGCTACCATTGTCTCTCACCTGGACTTCTGCAATGAGACTCCCATCAATTCTTCCTACAGCCATTCTTGATCCCTTTCCAACCCATTTTTCATATTATAACTAAATTAGTCCTTTCAAATGCAAATAAAATCAATGCTACAGTTTTTCCTTACTGTTGGGTTAAGAATAAAACCCCTTGACATGGCCTACAAGATATGAAGCTGCTGACCCTCTGGACACACTCATGTCATGCTCTCCTCACCCACTGTTCTCCAGTATTGCTGGAGTGCTCTTTTTAAGTACACATGGAACCTTGACCAACACAGACCATATTCTGGGCCATAAAATAAATCTAAATAAATTTCAAGGATTGACACTTACATACTATGTTACTTAACCATAACACAATTTACTTAGAAACCAATAATAAGATGTCCAGAAAATACTCAAATATTTGGAAATTAAGAAACACATAAGAAAAACGAGAAAACATTTAAAAATAAATGATAAGATACAACATATCAAAATTTGCGGGATGGAATAAAAGCAATGTTTACAGGAAACTGTTCATACTCAAAAAGATAAAAGATTTAAAATCAATGGTAATTATTTTTTAACATAAGGAAAAATGTTCAACATCATTAGTCATCAGTGAAATGTAATTACACCCAGAATGAGAGACCTCCACACATCCACTAAAGTAGCTCATATTGAGAGGACTGATAATACCAAATGTTGCAAGAATGTCAAAGTGTAACTGTCTGTCCAATGTTGCTTCGTTACACCCAACAAAGGGGTGAAAAATGGTACAACTACTTTGGAAAAATGCTGGTAGTTTCTTATGTGGTTAAACACATTCTATGGAAAATACATATATCCAAGAGAAATAAAAACATCTCCACAAAAAGATTTTCACAAGATTGCTCATAGCAGCATTATTCATCATAATCGAAATTGTAAACAACTCACAAGTCCATTTAAAAGTACATGGATGGGCTAGGTGAGGTGGCTCATGCCTCAAATCCTAGCACTCTGGGAGGCCGAGGTGGGAGGATCACTTGAGGCCAGGAGTTCAAGACCAGCTTGAGCAAAAGCAAGACCCCGTCTCTATAAAAAATACAAAAAATTAGCTGGGAGTGGTGGCACATGCCTGTAGTCCCAGCTACTCAGGAGGCTGAGGCAGGAGGATCACTGGAGCTCTGGAGTTTGAGGCTTCAATGAGCTATGATGAAGCCACTGCAGTCTACCCAGGTGACAGAGCAAGACCCTGTCTCAAAAAAAAAAAAAAAGTACATGGATAAACAAATTGTGGTATATTCATACAAGGGAATATTACTACTTATGGATTGAATTATGTCCCCCCCAAAATATGTTGAAGTCTTAAACCTTGGTATCTGTAAATATAACCTTATTTGGAAATAGGGTCTTGGCAGATGTAATTAAGATATAAATTGGAATGAGGTAATATTGTCATCGAGTGGGCCCTTAATCCAATGTAACTGGTGTCTTTTAAGAGGAGAAGAGACACAGACAGAGACACAGAGACTACACTATGTAACTAAGGAGGCGAAGAATTGGCATGATGTGGTGTCAACAGCCAAGGAACACCAAGGACAGCAAACACCAGAAGCTAAGAAAAAGGCATGGAACCAATTCTCCCCTAAAATCTTACAAGAGAGCATAGCGCTGCTGACACTTTGACTTCGGACTGCTAGCCTCCAGAACTGTGAGAGAATAAATCTCTATTCTTTTAGGCCACTCGGCTTTGTTATGGCAGCTAGTAAACTTACACAAACTACTGGAGGATAAACAGGAATGAACAATTGATACACTATGAATCTCAAAAACATCACATCCAGTGAAGGGAGCAAACCCCAAACCAATCTATGGTGCACAGACATCAGAACCACGGCTGCCTCGGGCCGGCGCGTCTTCGGGAGGGAGGAGACTGGCTGGGAAAAAGCACCGGGAGTTGTTCTGGGTGGATTGAAATGTTACCCATCTTGACAGGTGTGAGGTGTCAGAGTGCACAGACTTGTCAAAGCTCTTTGAATCGTACACCTAAGATCTGTTCAAATACTTCAAGGAAAAATATCTGTAAATAAGTAATAAACTCTATCTGGTTTTTTTGTATCGGTTTAGGCTAACATACCTGGAGATATTTTCCGTGTATTCTAGGTGTAAGCAAATGAGTAACTAGAATGTAGATGGCGGGAGGCAGGTTTCTCTCTATCGGAGAAGGGAGTTACAAATATAGAAAGAGGGAAGACAGCAAGAAAACCTGTGGTGCTGGATCGAAATTGGAGGTTATCATTGTGAACCCGTGGTTTTTCACATGGGCAGCTGGCTGGTGGATAGTAAAAAAAAGGGGTAGAAGATAAAAGGCATTTTCCTTTATGTGCCTTCCTGGCTTTCTGTGCCTGAAAGGGAAAAGTGTAAGAAGTAACAAGAGTGAGGATACACTCCACTGATGGGAGTGGATTCTCATTGAGTGGATTCTCATTGAATGTGCAATGGGGCTTTTTATTTCTGGTAGTATAGGACGTCGCATACTAATCGTGGCACATCTGAATGATTACTTCTTAGTCCTGAAAAAGACAGACTTTTAAAAAAGGGGAATGAAAAATGAGAAGATGTTTTAAAGTTTCAGATTATCTTAGTAGTTGTCTTGAGGTTAATCACCGCCGAATGAAAACATTCTTAGATGTAAACTACCTTTAGTCTTTCCTGGATGTCTTATATACCTAAGGCCTGGAAGAAATGATGTATGTTTTTATAATACCAACCAGGTGAGTAGTTTAGCTCTTTTTGAGAACTAAGGACAATTATACTGCTTTTTGAGTTTTGGGTCTTTTTTTCCCCCAGTCTTCAGCCTTCTTCTATTTAGTTTCACTGAAAACCAGAATGTTTTACATGGCTTTTATATGGTAGAATACAACACAATCTAATACAATACTACCAGTAAGTGCTTTAAAGTGAAAATCTTTTCTCCAGAATTACACTGGCAAAATTTATCTCTCTTTCTCTGTCTGTGTTTGGTAATTAACAGTCAAGTGTACAGATAGAAAAGCCGTCGACATGAGAACACTAAATGTGTCGATGACAGGCCATCAGCATCACACAGACAGGCACGGCATCCCCAAGCAGTGACATGTACAGGATCGATCTGGATTTTGCTGAGGCCCAGCCCCCCTTGCAGTCATGTCGCCTTGGATAAGAGTGACCCTGAGCCAGGACAGCAGATATTCATCAGTGGGAGGAGGTCGTCGATCTGCTGAATTCCACGGATACATTGATTAAACCACTAGTGGGATGACTTCCGCCTACCGGGAGAGTGAGAGAGAACCTACAAAGAAAGACAGTCGGCACACAGGGAAGCAAAGCTGGCACCTTACCGTCCACAGGCTTGGCCTCGGCCGGCGGCTGCTCTTCCTGCCCGCCCATGCTGCTCTCTTTAATACTCTCTATTTCCCGCCAGAAATCCTCCATGGATGCGCTGTCCACGGAGGCCTGCGAGTTGGAGCGGCCGAACGCGGGAGGGTGCAGGGACTCATTGGAGAGCATCCTGTTAATCCGACGGCAGCGAGGAATGGATTTTCTGAGGAAAGAATAGTATCTGTGAGTGAAAATGGGTGTCTTTACATTATTAAGTCACAAAATCAAACAAGTTTAAAATCAGTGAAGCGGCGTTAGCGTGGCAGAGAGGGATTTGAGGGAATCATCTCCATTCGGTGGTGGCCCTTTTAAAAAAAATTCTCTATACTTCATAATGACGCTGTGGCCATATGGGAATTAACATGCAAATATTTTTTATAAGTTTCACACACTCATAAAATGCAAAGTTATTTGTACTGGTCAAAACATGTACAGCGAAAGCTTGCTTCTGTAGCTAAGATGACGACAGAGGAATGTAAAAGTTGATTGCTCACACCCATCAGGGTGGTTACTATTTTTTAAAAAACAGAATATAATGAGTGTTGGTGAAGATGTGGAGAAATCGGAACCCTTGTGCACTATCGGTGGAGGTGTAAAATGGTGCAGCCTCTATAGGAAACTGTACGGTGGTTCCTCAAAAAAGTAAAAATAGAACAGCAATTCCATAAGATGCAGCAATTCCACTTCTGGATATATACCCAAACCACTGAAGGCAAGTTCTCAAAGAAATATTTGTACACCCATGTTCACAGCAGCGTGATTCACAGTAGTCAAAAGACAGAGCAACCCAACGGCCCACCAATGGACAAGTGGATAAGCAAAATGTGATATAAATAATGAAATATTATTCAGTCTTAAAAAGGAGGGAAATTCTGACACGTGCTACAACAGAGGTGGGCTTTGAGGACATCATGCTTCGTGAAATAAGCCACTCATAAACAGATAAATACTATACGATTCGATTTATATGAGGAACAGAGAGTAGTGAAATTCATAGAGACAGAAAGTAGAATGGCGGTTGCCAGGGGCTGGCGGTGGGGAGGAGGAACGGGGAGTTCTGAGACGGGCAGAGTTTTCAGTTTTGCAAGACGAAAAGAGTGCTGGAGATGGATGATGATGATGGTTGCACAACATTATGAATATAATTAATACCACTGAACTGTACACTTAAAAATGGTTAAGACGATAAATCTTGTAATACCTATTTATCATAATTTTTTTTTAATTGAAAAAGATACATTTTTTTTAAGATGAGCTGCCGAGATTACGAGATAGTGAGGAGAAATAAATCTATAACATTAAGTGGAAAAACCTACATTACGATAGGGAAATGGAGCATCAGCCTGAAGCACGGAGACCCATGGAGAGTCGGGGAGAACTGGACGGCCACCGAGGGCAGCGTCCGAGCACTGCCAGGGCAGCGTGGCTCCTGCGCCCACTCACCAGCTAACGGCACCACCGTCAATGTAGGACACGGAGCAGAGCGGGGAGCAGCTCCAGGGGGCGCTTTCCTCAGGGGGTTGCTCCGAGGGCTCAGTGAATTAACACATGTAAAGCATTCAGAACATAAAAATATTCCATAAATGTTTGTTTAACACAGCAAGACACACAGTAGGGTGGAGAGATGCCAAAATGTTTGGACTCTGAGAGATTTAGATCTCTCATCATAAAAACGTAGAAATAAAACAAAATATTTGACTTCCATGATGTACAACTGGCAAATATTACATTTCCTATGAGCAGAATGTTTGATTAACTGGAACACTCTGGTCACCAACCATGGAGATTAACTGAGTTACTTTATACAGTGAAAGCTTCTGTTCTTGTTCTTTTCTTTTTTAATTTTCAAGTTTGGTGTGGGTTGGACGTTTTCAAAGAAACTCTTCTTCTCTGTGGGTTCAGGTGGAATTGAACAAAAACACTGAAGCTGCCTCCTAACCAGTGTGTGGTCTGAGATGTTTCACTCAAAACGAGAAGTCCAGGTGGAAAGAGGTGAGCAGAGCAGTGGCACCGTCTCGTCACTGTGGCATTACAACTCACCCAGGACAATTACATTTTAATATGCAGAGCAGCAGCGGGCTTTTATCAAATTAGCCACGGCTATGGCATATGTAAAGCACACTTATCTGTATGGGAGTGCAAAACGAGAGGGGAAATAATGCTTCCGTAAGTAACACAAAAAAAATTTCCCTTTGCTCATATGCTCTACACCCCTAGGAATCCTTCTGGCTTTCTAAATCACCCTTACTAGAAATTTCTGGAATTTTCTCATTGATCCTTTCATGGTACCTGACTGTAAGAATAGTTCTAGTTTTGAACATTAACTGATAGCAGGATAGCCAATTTATTTTTTTTAAATCAAAGCCTTTCAGAAAAATATGAAATATCCACTTTTTTAAATGCGTTGTATGATAAAAAAGAATTTTAGGCTTTGTCTGATAATCGGGTGATAAGAGTTTTTCACTGAATTCTTTATAGTTTAACAAGACAGACACATTTTAGTGGTTTAAATTTCTATGAAATCGACAAGATACCAAGACGGTTATTGCCCCCTTTATTATTTTTAGGCTTCTAAGACTCTTTTTTCCTTTTGCAATATGACTAATACTGAAAACCACTAGCAAATTCATATAGTACTAGTATATAAACACCTACTTCTTGTAAAACTGAAATCAGTTACCACTGCTCACACAGCCTACTGCTGTCCATGTACTATATTCAGAAAAAGTATATGGATACCCAAAACTTTTTCCCGTTCTAGATTTTTAAGGTTAATTTCTTTAAGAAATGAATATGCTTGACTTGTTATAAAAAAAAAAAAAAACTTACAGTCTTTACAGCAGACACGGACCAAGTTTTTAAAAAATTATAATACAGTGTAAGTGTAACCGTTTAATATACAATTGTATAAAGCAAAAATGGAAGGTCTTTTCCTTCCATCTGCAGCACATCAATATTGTTCTATAAACTGCTTTATTTTCTTGGCTCAGAAACATGCATAGACATTTTTTCCATGCCAATACAGTGACAGCACATCAACGGCTGCAGAGAGTTGTATAATTTATCTTAGAAATTAAGCAAACACGCAGATACAGCCAAGTGCTGAAAATGTTTGAAGTGAGAGATTTGGGAACTAGTAAGTGAATTGAAGATATCTTTAGGGCTAATAATGATAATTTGAATCACAGTATACAGTTTCTTATTCATGCAAAGGGTATACTGGTGGAATCTCAAAGGAGAGACCTTCACAAAACTCTGCTGAGGGGAGGGAGAACGGATGTGCAACTCATTGGTCATGAGCAGTTGAGTAACGCGCTGGTTTCATCTGAGACAAACCACCCAAAGAGTCCCTTAACCACAATGATAAAAAAATTTTTTGGCAAAGAAGTCAACAACATTTTTGGGATAAGCACACTTGGAAGAGCTCTCATTTTTTTAGCTAGGAGTCCAAATACTCCCCCCCACATCCCAGGGTGGAGTACACACAATGATCTTCCATTATTGAAACATTATGTAATTTTGACCCTCCTTAGGCCCATTCAACAGTTTGATGAGCCTTAATCTGAAGCTTCATACCTTACCATATTAGGAGAAAACAGAGTTTAAGCTTCATCAGCTGGTTTTTTTTTCCTCCCAAAAAATGACACCAGGAAAATATAACATGAAAAACAGAATGTAACTATGTTACACAGCAACTTTTATTGGGAAAACACCACTAAGTTTAAAATTAAATTTTAAGTGTATGATAATTAACATAAATTCAAAATAGCATTTAAAAAAAAGAAAAGATTTTATTATTCCATTTTTAAGCTGTAACTTATTTTATCGTTTAGTAGATTCTAGAGACCTATAACTTATTATTATTCATATTGAATTATAATAGTATTTCACCTCCACCCTTTATATTACTGTTGTCATGTGTGTTGCTTTCTCATGTGTTTGTATCTTCCAATAGTTACTATTGTTGTAAATTTAAAATAGCCCATAATCTCTTAAAAATCGAAATGAGTAGTCTTTCCTATTTGTCCTTTCTGGTGTTCTTCGTTCCTTGCACATGTCTGTGTGTCCATCGGGGTCATCTCCCCTCAGGCTTGAGAACTTCGACATTTCTCTCTCAGTCTTTAGCATTTCTCGTACTGTCGATCTGCTGGCAACAAATTACCTCAGGTTTCATTTTGAATATGTCTTTATTTTCATTTTGACAAATATTTTTACTGGGCATATTTAAACTGTTTAAATCTTTTTACAGAAGTCATTCCACTGCCTTGTGGACACCTGATTCTGTTGAGAAGTCAGTTACAAATCTCGTTGTTGATCTTCTAAATATAATGTCTGTTTCCTCTAGCTGCTCTTAATACATTTTTTCTTTATCTTTTGTTTTTATCAGTTTGAATATGATATGCCTAGATTGTGGTTTTCTTTTTATTTATTCTGCTTGAAGCTTTATTGAACTTCTTGAACCTGTGGGTTGATGTCTTTCATCAGGGGATATTCTTATCCATTTTCTCTTCAAATATTTCTTCTGTCCCATTCTCTCTCTCCTCTCCTCTCCTTCTGGAATTCCAACACCATGACTGTGAGGCCATTGGATATTTCCCAAATGCCCTTCACAGTCTGCTTTGCTTCCCTCCCACTTTTTCTTAGTGTGCTTCAGTCAAAGGATTTCTGTTGCCCTGACTGCTGCTGCTAAGTCCATCCAATGAATGCTTCCATTCCAATATTGTGTTTTGTCATATCCAGAATATCCAATTAGCTCTTTTTAGAGATTCCATTTATCTGTTAACATTATCCATATATTTTATCCCTTTTTGACCATCTATCTTCTAATTTCTTTAATATACTTATCATTGCTATTTGAAAGTTCTTATCTCTTAACAGCAACATTTGTGCTGTCAATGTATCTGCTAATACTGATTTAAAAACAGTCAACTGTTTGTGAGTCACATTTCCTTTGTCTCCACATATTTTATAACTTTTTATTACATGGCAGACATTATATTTAAAAGAACTCTACAAACTGGAGTAAAAAGGAGCTTCCCCCAGAAAGGGCAAGCCTTTTCCTCTACCTGGCAGTTGGAGTGAGGGGCAGATTACTTCAACCCAATCAGGAGTTGAGCTGCGGCTGGGCTGGGCTGCAACTTTAATTTGTTTTAGTTTACCTCT